AATAGAAGATGTGGGCATTCTATTAATTAAATAACAAGATGAAAGGACTGCATCTCCCCAAAAACGCAGCGGAACATGAGTTTTAATGAGGAGAGTGCGAGCAGCCTCAATGAGATGCCTATTCTTTCTTTTTGCTACACCATTTTGTTGAGGAGTGTATGGACAAGATGTTTGGTGAATAATTCCTTGGTGAGACATAAACTCTTGAAACTGGGTTGATAAGTATTCTAAGGCTTTATCACTACGAAAAGTACGAATAGAAACACCAAACTAAGGCTGGGCACCGGAACGGGTTGTACCGGTACCATTCCGGTCCGTTCCGGTACCATTCCGGTTCGTTCCGGTCCGGTAGTATTCGGGACGGGATGGGATACATTGAACCGGTACACGGAACGGAACGGTACCATGATTTGGTACCGGTATACCGGTACCGGTTCATCCCGGTTCATTCCGGTTCCGTTCCGGTCCGGTCCAGTACCGGTTCGATCCCGGTAAATCATTTCTAATTAAAATAAAAAATAATATTTTTGTCATTATTTACTTTTATTAGCATTTCTTTTTTGTTTATTTAATTTTTTTAAAATTACAAACTTAAGTTATTTAACTTACAAGTTATAAGTATAACTTAATAACTTATAAACTTCAAAAGATTCAAATCTTTAAAACTTATAACATAACTACATAAGCTCAAAAACTAAAAAAAAAACTTTATTAAACTTAACTTACAAACTTATATACGTAAAAATTAAAAAAAATATCTTTAAAATAAACTTAAGTAAAATTATTATAAATTTTAAAACTTAAATACTATAAACTAATATAACTTAGAAAAAAAAAAAAAACATTCGTATTTTCGTAATTCAAAATAACTCAAAAAAAAATAATTATTTTTTGAAATAGCTATATGTGCCGTCCCGTTTATCCCATCCCGTTCCGTTCCGGTCCATTCCGGTCCGTCCCGGTTCTATCCCGGTATATAGTGGGACGGGACGGAACCGAGCCTCCATCCCGGTAGTTCCGGTCCGGTTCATCCCGGTACCGGTCAACAACCCGGTCAAACCGTCCCGTTCCGATTCGGTACCGGTTCGTTCCGGTCCGGTGGTCCCATTCCGGTCCAGTGCCCAGCCTTAGGCTCATCATTTATCAATATAAGCAAAAATTAATATAGTTGGGTAAGCTTCATGACTTTGGAAACTACTAGTGTTCGTTTAAGTTACTCAGAACGATCTTTCATTAAGAAAGCCCAAGTACATCTCAAATAATCATCAATGAAACTAACAAAATAACGAAATCCTAAGGTGGAACTGACTCTACTAGGACCCCAAATATCAGAATGAACTAATGAAAAAATAGACTTTGAACGCCCTCAGTACCACGTGAAAATGTGGCACGAGTGTGTTTCCAAAGTTGACACGACTCACAATCTAATTTGGATAAACTAGATAAACTAGGCACCATCTGTTGCAGTTTGGATAGACTCGGATGTTCCAAACGTTTGTGAATGAGGTCCGGAAGATCTGTAACGGAGCATGCTTTGAAGGAAGTTGAAGAGGTAAGATAGTAAAGGCCTTGTGATTCATGTCCTATGCTAATTGTCTGTTCCGTACTGCAGTCCTGCATGTGAAAAAAATCATCAAAAAAGGTTATGCTACAATGTAGGGCACGTGTCAAACAACTAACAGATGCCAGATTAAAAGGAGAACTAGGGACATAAGTATCAATCCCGAAAGACATGTTGTGAAATTAGAATATGTAGACCAAAAAAAAAAATAATAATAATAAACTGTAATGAGTAGCCAAAAAACTGGATTTTTTTTTTCTGTCGGAATCTGGAAAATAAATAGGTTGTTGCCGGAAATGTAGATCTGATCGCCAAATATTGGTCGGAATCAGGAAAAAATTATATGGTCAGCCTCGGAATGAAGAGGCGACCTAGATAGGAAAATTTTTTTGTCTAAAAACTGGCTGGAACAGGTCTCACGCGCTGGTGCGTGGATCAGCCAACTCGCCGGAGAAATTCTTCTGGCGGCGCGTGGCGTTTGCTCGCCGGGAAGTTCCTCAGCTAGTGGTGGTGTTAATTTTTGAAAAACAGTGACGGAAAATATTAATTACCCGGACAGCAACTAGGTTACCGGAAAAAACTGCACAGTGCGATTTTTTATTTTTTTTCTCTCACAATTGCTCTGATATCATGTGAGAAATATTGGAGAAGAATATTATTGAATTGTTGTTTTAATTATTACATAGAGAACCCTATTTATAGACACTACAATACAATTCCTTATCAAATAGGAGATTATAAACTATTCCTATTCTGTGTAGGATTGTGTGTACATATTCTATTCTAACAGTTATCTAATACATCATAAGGAAAGTGATTGGGACGTTACCCATACATCACATACAAAATCTAAAATGGAAATGACATAAAGCAATAAAGTAGTCTCGGTCCTCTGAACATAAGGACTTAACAATCTTCAAAGTTTATGAAGGATCACTAGCCCTAAGTATGGAAGATAGGAGCGTTGGACCCTACATTAGTGAAATAATGTAGGCACAAGTATGCATTAGTACATGAAATGTACTAAGTATGAGGAAATATGCATGAACATAGGCATGATAACATAAGTAATGTAAAACGAGTAGGCATGATCATAATGGGACATTTAAAAGCTTTAAAGAAGAGATGACATGAAAATCATGAAAGCATGGTCAAGTATATTAACACAAAGGACATGAGAAAAGCTTTGAAGAAAACATAGTCATTTTGTGGGATATTAGCTTTAACCGACAATAAGACCATGAGAGCTATATCATGGAATTCGGTATATCCCTCATACCGAAAGAAGGGGAAACTACTTGCCAAGGTAAAATCCGTACATATCATCATTTGCTTAAGTGGATCCACTAGCTAGGTCATTTAAGTCAATCGTACGGGGGCACTAGTTTGGGACTAGAGGTTGCTACTAGGGACTACCCTATTTGAGCCTCCACCTCAAAGGCCTCTCGGTGCTAAGTCTAAATCCCAATGGAATGGATAAAAGTCAAATATCATTTTAACATAGGAAAGGCAATGATCAATACCAATCCACAACTTTTAAGATCAAAACATAGAATAACTCCTTAAACATAATTCAACATAAATGAGAAAACCTTTCACCAATGTGAATTCAATTGTGAGAAATACCTTTCACAATCATGATCATCATAGTAAGTGAGAAATCCTTTCACAATAACATCAATACTTTCCTTTCAAAGCATCATCAATTCATTTACAATAACTTTAGGAAAACATGCATATCTTCATAAATTCATAATTCATAGTTCATAGGTTCATCATGGGATCATGGTTGAAAGCCTAAATTAGGCATGGGTAAATGCAATTTCAACTAAATATCATAGATTAACATCAAATAATACATTAGAAGACTTAACTAATCATTATTGAATGAAACTAACATTCATTGAATTGAACCCTAATTTGATCAATTGGAAATTTAATGGAGAAGTTGAAATCCTTAGGGACCCAATGGAGGAAAGGACTCCATGGGTGAATACACACATACCTTGATGTTAGAAGCCCAAAAAGAATGAAGGATTGGAGACTTGGATGAACCCTAGATCTTCACCTTCTTCCTTAGTCTTGAGAGGATTTGGGGAGTGAATTTGGTTGTGTTTTAGGAATTTAAGAGATTGGGGTTGAAATGGATGTCCAAAAATAAATGAGACTCAAGAAAATGGAGAATTTGGAGACTTGAATGGAACCCTAACTCTTCTTCTTCCTCTTTAGACTTGAGAGAATTGGGATGATGAATTTGGTCAAGCTTAGGGAATTTAGGAGAATGAGTTGAAATGGGTAAATTTGGGGATTAAAACGTTTATATAGGGCTTAGGGTAGTAGGTAAAACGACATAGTTCTAGGTTAAATCATTTAGGAAAGTCCCAAAAGCCCTTTAAAAATAACTGTCGAGCCTCACCTATCGTCCATATGAAAATTATTTTGGATCAACTTTTGACGGAACCCATGTACAGCTCGTAGGTCTTTCTACGATCCGTATATGCCAACCATATAAACCAACTTTACCCCTTAAAATTTCACGAAGTCTGGGACTCACCTACGACTCATACAATGGTTGACAGACTGTCCTGGTGAACCGTATAAAGGTTACTGGGACTTGATTTTAGAAAATTACTTTACCTACTTCCTACGGTGGGCATCTACGGCACGTAAAAGCTCCTACGGTCCGTAGATGGGACCCATAAACCAGACTTCAGTTCAGAAATTTATTTTCCTCCTTTTTCCAAGTTCCGATGTGTTACACTGATCAAACATGATTCAAGGAAACTATCGAGAGGGGTCAAATGATAATTTTCCAAAAAAATTACAAAAATGAACTTCATGGTCATTACAAATAGTCAAAAAGTTACTTTCTTTGATCTCGATCCTCTTGCTTCTAGACCCAATTTTATGATAAAAGGAAATATTGTATGTATGTCTCTGTGGTTATATGCCTACTTTCTACGTGATGTAAACTGACCTTCTACAAAGAGAAGCTTACAGTTAACACTTCTATAGATGGCACCTGACACTTGTATTTGATTTACTAATTCGATGAATCATATTGTTTATATTTCTATAACTATAGAATCTTTGGGTTGTCTTTCAAGGGGTTGAGTTAACCAAATTGGTTGGTCATTTTCATTTCCCTACACTAAGACCCTTCTCCCAGTTAGATGGTTTCCTAGAAAAAGAATATTAATTTCTTTGGTGTAACATACGTGGCAAAGAGGGGACCTAGATGATATATTTTTGTATCCTGGGTAGATCTCCAAAAGGAATTTTCTTGTACTGATATGTTATTGCGCTTGCGGCTTGGACCTTTTAAGAGCAGCTTGTCACTGACTCATGCTTGTGTGTTTATATCGTGTAGTGAGATCTGACATTTATGTGATTTTTATACTATACCAGGATAGGTTCTTTGCATATGGTGTAATGCTTCAAATTGAGGGAAATAATTTGGAGAACTTCACCAAATTTACAAAACTGGCAATTCCATATGGCTATGATGAAATTAATTTTAAGCTTGTTATGCTTTTTCTATCTAAAATATAGGTTTCTAGATTTTATTCAGACCCATAACTGATACTTTTTCTCTATTATATTACAGTTTGCAGATGTCATAACCCCGGAGTAGCTGGACACGGGTGTTTTTGTGTGTACCTCATGCTTGATGCAAAGGTTCAGATTTGTTTGCTTGATACATCAAATATATTATTTCTGTATAGTTACTCTGATATATGTACAACTTCTACAAGGAAAGTTTGTTGCTGAGGCCATGTGCGTAATTGCTGCAAATACAAATGTTCCCGTGAGTGTCAAATGCAGAATTGGACTTGATGATCATGACTCGTACAATGAACTATGTAAGCTCTTCAAACTTTCCGTTCCTCACAGGAAATGAGAATCAAAATTCAATTCTTCAATGATCAATCTTTTGATTTGTACTTGTTCCTTTCTCTCGTCTTGTGGATTACAACTCCATTTTTTCGTCCCGGCTTGATTCAAGAAAATCATCAAAATTGAACTCCGTTAGTTTCTTTATAATATATTTCCAAGCCGGTCTTTGCTAACCTTGTAACTGCTTGGACTTTCAAGTAGATCTTAGAGAGCTGACAATAATTTGTCACGATGAACTAGAAGCAAATTCATGACCACTTAACTCGTAGTATTAGCCATGTCCCAATAAACCCAAAAATTGGTGGGAACTTGAAATATTTAAAAACCAGATTTTCTAAATCAGATCAAATTTTATGGTCAAAATAAATCATGAAAATCTACTCACAATGACCATATGTATTTTTCTGGAACTTTCTCTTCTCCTATTAAAACTTTTTCCTTTTTTGAATTTTTGACCTTTTTACACTTCTATACAAACAATCATGGATTCTATCAACATTTTGAAAACTTCGATGGGCCAAATGTGAATTTTGCCTCACCTATAAACAAAACCCTTTACCCTCAAACTCTCATAAGTCACACCCCCTCCTCTCTCTCTCTCTCTCTTCCCTCAAAGGGATTTCTCCCAAAATTCCTCATACACAGAAATCTTTATCTCGCGTATGGCCTTTCACACAGCTTGCCCAATCACCTGGTACTGCATTCTTTTCAACATTCTTTTATTTTTGAGTTATTTATTTATAATTTTGTTTATTTTCTCTCTTTTTTTTATCACTCTTCTCACTACTCTCTGTTATCTAGGCAAATGGGTTTCTTTGTTTTATGGTTTTAAGTGGTTTAGTGGGGTTTTTATGACTCATTGAGTGTTTTTGGATGTGGGTTTTGGTGATTTTTTGGTGTAGCGGGAGGATCTGTTAGCTTTCTCTTTTTCTTTCTTTATCGATGGATGTGAAATTGGTTTCTTGCGTTTGTGTTTTGTTGTTTTCTTTTGAATTTCTGACCCAATTGAGTGTTTTGGTATTTTTTGGTGCAGCCGAAAGATCTGCTTCTGCCCACATGGGTTTCCAAAGGGTAAAAATGAGTTCTTCAGAGATGTGACTAGACTTGAGGAGTTTATCAAGGACCCATGGGGTCTTAAGGCCAAACAACCTGCCACAATTCAGGTTAAGGTGCCCAAGCTTAATGTTGCTCCGCCCCCACAGGCGCCTGTAGGTGATGGGGGTGGTGGAAGCGGCGGGGATGGTGAGGAGGCATCTACTATTGCTTCAGCTCAGACTAAGCGCGCTGCGTTGCAGAAGAAAGCTGCTGCTGCATCTATGGCGGCTGAGGATTTTGCTAGACGATTTGAGTCTGGAGATGTGGAGGTTAGGAACCACAGTTCTAAAAAACATAGATTTTCATGAATTTGAATGTAGAAGTCATTTGGATTTAAAATCTAAATAATGGTTAGGATGTTTCTTTTGTCGTTCCTCACATTCAACCGAATAGATGTTGTCACTCACCAGCAGAATTTTTGTATTTTAAAGGTGCACTGTTACTGAACTTGTAATAACCCCTTTTCATTGCTCATTCTAGTGTTATTCATTTCTTTTTCTCTTGGGGTGTGGAGGCTGGGAGCTGGAATCATAAATTGTTACATGATAGTATTCAATCTTTTTATTTACAAATAAATATCTTCCCTCAGGGCTCCATGAAAGATGTTGGTGGAGAAGAACAGGGTCTATCGAATGTCAAAGTGATGTGTAGGCTATGCTTTTCCGGTGAAAATGAAGGAGGTGAAAGTGCAAGGAAATTGATGTCATGCAAATGTTGTGGGAAGAAGTATCACCGAAGCTGCTTGAAAGCGTGGGGTCAACATAGAGGTACTCTCATAGGCCACAATTTGTCAGTTTTTAGTGTTGTACTTTTGCCAATATGCCCTTTCCTACAGATCTCTTCCATTGGAGCTCATGGACATGTCCCTCATGCCGGCTTTGTGAGGTAAAACTTTTGATTCATTTCAAAAATATAATGAAACATAGTTGGTTTTACTTTTTAATAGCTGCCCAAAACATGGCAATTGTACGGTGAGTTGCTTTTTTTTTTTTTTTGTGAATGAGAAGGTCAAAGCTAATTCGACAAGACATTAACTTTTATTACCTAACAAAATAAAAATAACAAATTAATCGGAGATATCAACTGATGCCTTAATTTTCTTTGGTAGCCATATGTAATGTTGGCATTTTAGGTTCTAGCCTACTGCCTAGCCCTATGAGAGGTCACCCATGTCAGTTTTGACCCACAAATCTTGGTTAAGGTACACTGGTTAAAAAAAGAGATCCTGACTAAGGTTGATGTCAATACTATGGAAAGAGGTTTTTTTCAACATCTCTATGTGTCCGCATGGACAGTCAATTGAAAAACAAGATATTGCTTTTAAGTCGATGCTCTTAAATGGATCCCTCCATATGTGTATGCCTGTACGGTGTATGACAGTCAATGGAGGAAAATTTGACCCATGGCCCCACTTATATGCAAACCCATTAGTTACTAATCATACACTTGCCATATCAACTACCTATTGTTCTGTAAGAAACAGGAAAGACTCTGTTCCACTAGATCAAGTAGACCCAACTCAGATAAGCACCATTCAAAGCCAAATAAGCTGCAAGCCATAATAGCTTATAATGATAAGCCCACGTTGGAACCCCAAAACCTGGTTGTAACTTGTAAGAAGTTATTTAATGACACTAGATGATTTCTTGGGTTGTTAGACACAGTTACCTGGTAAGTGTGCTGGTGGAAGGTACGTAAGGGAATTTTGTTGAAGTGCATGCAAGCTGGTCATGCGCCACGGTTAGTTAAAAAGAAGTCATTTTGTGTGAAATGAGTCACTGTAGTTCCATTACTTCCATGTTTCACTTTTTGTGGTGTAAAGTTTGTCATGTTAAGTTTGCAAATTTGTTGCAGAATCAGATTAGATTTTGGTTTTGTTGTTCCCCCTCTGCTTCTCCAACTTTCTTTTTCGGGGTCTTTTGTGCTTTTTTCCTTGTGTTCTTTGGTGACTTCAATTTTAGTTTTTTTTTTTTAAGGAAGACTTCTATTTTAATTTTTGTTTCAAATTTAACCTTCAGATTGTTTGGAATGAGGTAGTTTAATCCGTCTAACCAATGGGTAACCAAACCAAATCAAACAAGATGCTATAACCAACCAGCCTTTATCCTTTATCCCTTCCTTTGCTACTCCCTCCCTGGTACCACGAGACTTGCATCTAGGTTTTACTATGGAAGTTGCTTGGGGGATAGAGAAATAGCCTTGTAGGTTGGGATAATGGTAGGATTCGACAAGTACTTCAAAAACTGAAAATTGCAAAAAGAGCAATAAGCAGCGAACGATTCATCAAACATATGAAATAACCTAAATATATGATTGGTCCAAAGGGCGGGTCACAGAAGAATTTCTCGGTTATCAAAAAAAAAATTAAAAATTAAAAATAAAATATATATATATATATATGAATTTAGTACTTATAAGATCAAATAGCAATTAACATTATTATTTTCAGTACCTGTTATACAATAATGACTGTATATAGACTCAATACCTAAACTGAAATAGAATGACTATAAATTTTAACAAGGTCACAGAATAATGATGGTCAATAGCAGCATTGATTTAGGATTCTCAATAAATTGACTACAACAAGAATTAATCAACTATAAGAACAATTATTTTGCAGCATTCAGTTTAATATTAAATTGCTGTAGTAACTATACATAAAGTTGAAAAAGAAGCTCAAAATCAGCAGCAGTTGAAGATGGGAACTTGCATACAAGGAAAGTGTTATCTTTGAAGAAGAAAAAGAACAAGAAATTTTAAGGATATACAGAATCCTTGCCTTACTACATAGACAAGTCAATCCGGTTGATTATTTCAATGTTTGGAGGTGGGGTCTGGAAACAATGGAATGTTCTTTGATCCCAATGTTTGGAGGTGGGGTTTGGAAATAATGGGATGTTCTCTGTGAAGTCCTTTTATGAGAAATTATTGGTTAGGGAGGAGATGACCTTTTCCATATAGCAATATGGATCTCAAGGGTGCCGAGGAAGGTGCCCGTTGTTTGCGTCAGTTGGTGTTACATGTGTAAGGAAGCGGGTGAGGAAGTGTCCCTATCGTGTAGGATTATAAATGAAACTATGTGCTGCTCTTTTTCTTTTCAAAAAAATTCTTTTGCATAAAGCAACTCTTCTGCTTGATAATTGAACATGCATTCTGGATCATTCTCATGTGATTATTGTATTTTTGGCTATTTGATGTCTGTTATTGTTCAACTCATGTTCTTATGCTCGCTATATTGCTCATTATATACTGACTGTATGTATGCTCCGTGTTTGGTGTAGGGCTGTCAAAGAACTGGAGATCCAAACAAGTTCATGTTTTGCAAAAGGTGTGATGCAGCTTATCACTGTTACTGTATGCAGCCTCCACACAAGGTGGATTCTCGTGTCTTACTATTTTAGTTTTGTATAATGATAAAAGTAGATTATATTAAGTTGTTTTTGGGATGTGCAGAACGTTAGCAGTGGGCCTTATTTATGCCCCAAACACACAAAGTGTCACAGCTGCTGTTCTAATGTTCCAGGAAACGGACTGAGCAAGAGGTATGTAGTATGGGGCCATGAGCAGCTAGTGGGACATTCTCTTGGATTCAAGTTTTGCTATAAATGTTAATTGAACACTCTAATTAACTTCATTTTAGTTAAAATGCTTATTCATGTACTTTTCTATGTTGTTTTTTCTGTATCTTTACAGAGGAGCATCATGTAGGAGTTCCATTTGGTTCAAGTTATATATTCTAATGTATGGAAATCATTTAAGGCATTGCATATCCTATGTAAATTATTAAAGGCTTTGCATAACCTATGAAAATCATTTATGGCATTGCATATTCTATGGTCTCTGAACCATTGATATCTTGATCTATGACAGGTGGTTTTTAGGATACACTTGTTGTGATGCCTGTGGAAGATTATTTGAGAAGGGAAACTACTGTCCTGTTTGTTTGAAGGTAGATATTATGGCGGTTTTTGTTATCTGAGCTTCTCTTTGTTTAATTTTACAATGAGGTTCTTTGTACTATGGTGATTTACTAATGCGGAGTTGCTAATTTGTCTGCTAGTATTACGTGATGCCTTTTGCTTTCATTGCCTTTCCAAAGCAACTGAGTGTTTTTCTTCTCATATGTCTATGGGGAATGGAATTAATTGTTTTTTGTAATGCAGGTCTATAGAGATTCTGAATCAACGCCTATGGTCTGCTGTGACATTTGCCAGCGCTGGGTGCACTGCCAATGTGATGGCATCAGGTTTATCTTAGATATTGCTTTTAAGAAAATTAATTAATTGGTTTTGCTTTGGTTCCTTTCTCATAAAGTGCAATTTTATTTCTTATCACGGGAGCAAATATGGATGTGCATTAGGTTAGACTTTTCTGTTCTGGAATTAAATATCACAAATTTATTATTGACAGCATCCTATGTCTTTTGTGGTGTTCTTGCAGCAGATTTTTCTATGTTAAAATGTAAAAAGTGTTTCCCAGAATAGTCTCCTCATTCCCCACTGACTATTATTGTTTCATTGAATAACTGAATGGCATTTTGGGGACTGCAGTTTATGCTGCATTCTGCCTTGTTAAGAGTCGAGTCAGTTGACAGGGCGCTAGTTCTAATTTCCAGAAAGCTTCTCTTCTTCCCATCACTATATAAATATCCTGACATCATTGTAGTTTGCCAATTTGTTCTCATGTCATTCATGCGATATAAAGCTGTTAAATTATGTAACCTTGATTGTACTTTCAGTGAAGCTTTGAAAGAGGGACTCCATTGGAAGTTCTAATTTGAAAATGGGTATTTGCTTTGCAGCGATGAAAAATATTTGCAGTTTCAAGTGGATGGAAATTTGCCATATGCATGTCCAACATGCCGCGGAAATGGTTATCAGGTGTGTTTATTGGCTGTGATTTATTTCACAAGAAAAGTTAAACTAGAACTCTATCCTAATAGTTATATATTAATGTTCTCAGGGGAGAAATCTTGAGGATGCTGTTCAGGAGCTTTGGAGGAGGAGAGATGTAGATGATAGGGA